GGGATTACAGATGTGAGCCACCACACCCGGCTTGTACCCCATTCTATTTGTGCCTTGGTTTTCAAATGGGAACAGCAATGCAGACAATGCAGACCTCCTGGCGTGGTTGTGAGCTACTGAGAAGATGCTGTGAGTGGCATCTGCAGTGGCTGGTGCTGCAGTGGGCTCCTCCAGTGCGGTCTGTATTGTCAGAGGCATGGCAGCAGCGGGGCAAGGGCAGGGAGAGTGGATGCTCAACACTTCAGGAAAGCCCGCCTCAAACCACACACACTCTGGCTGGCAGTGTCTTTGCCTCTGGCTTTGTAAGGTTGACAGTGACACAAACAACATCTCTGTGTGGTGCACTGAATGTTTGTGTGTCTGTCCCTGCACCCCGCAATCCCCCTGTGTTTAATGCTAACACTCTGTGTGGTTGTGTTTGGAGGTGGGACTTGTAAGGGAGGAATGGAGCTTAGATGAAGGCATAGGGTGGGGCCCTGATCCGATAGGATGCACATCCTTGTAAGAAGAGACACCAGAAAGCTCCCTCTTCCTCCAGGTGTGCACACCAAGGAAAGGCCCTGCCAGGACTGCAAGAAGGCAGCTGCCTGCAACCCAGGAGGAGAGCCCTCACCAGAAATGGAATCAGCCAGAACCTTGATCTTGTCCCTCTAGCCTCCAGAACTCTGAGAAAATAAACCTCTTGTTTCAGCCACCCAGTCTCTGGTATTTTGTGACGGCAGCCCAGTAGACCAATACATGCAGATAAGCAGCTTGGATGCAGATATCACCTTGCACTCCTGGGGAGCTGTGACCTCAGCACTGGGTACAGATCTCTCTAAGTACCATGTGGCTTGGAGTTACCATGGTTCACTCGGTGTGAATCCTTCCCGACTGTGGACCACCAAGGCAGATCACAGTGATTCTGCTGTGGTCATTTCTAATTGCTCCCAGTTGGCGATCCTGAGATAGACAAACTAAAAATAATTCCTCTGTGTGTGAAGGCTGCTGAAGGGACAAGACTGCTGCCCTATTGCTGGTCATCACACTCTCATGAGTGGGCCTCTCCTGAGACACACCTGAAGAACAGGGCGTTCTCACAGCCTTTGGTAACCATCTCCAGTATTTCTGTTGGGAGGTGAGAAGCCAAAAGGGCCTGTTGATTCTGCAGCAGTGGCTTCTGGCATGGAAAGCCTCAGAGCTCAGCATGTCTCCTGTCCCCACTGTGGCCATCAGCTGCTCAGGCTGAGACCAGGAGACACGAGGAGTGAACACTTCATTCCTGCTGCAGCCACCAGAGACTTCTGGGGGTATCTTTCAAGCAAAGGGGGAGATCAAGTGCAGACATCCAGGCAAGAGGGTTGCTTTGGAAGTTCGCTGCCATGCCTGTGAATGCAGCCTTTGAGACTGGCCTAGCAGAGAAGGAGTCCAGGGAAAAGGAGGTGGGGGAACCAACTTAGCTAGAACACATACGAGGTGCTGATCACCCTGGCTAGAAGCTTTTTGGACTTTAGCTCATTGGTTCCACACAAACCCCATTCCTGTGAGGGATGTGTGCTCATCACACAGAGGGGGAAGTGAAGGTTTACGGAGTCCTTTAACCATATGTATTTCAGGGCCATGGTTGCAGCCTGAAAGAGCTGGCAGGGACCTGGATATCTTCTGGTCTTGCCTACCTGTCAGACAGAAGGGGGAGGCCAGCCTCAAGTCAGAGATCAAGGCAGAGGTGGGAACAGGATCTGCCTATGCCTGTGGATCACTCATTTTCTAGCAAATTCCATGTAATTTCTTCAGCTTTGATATGAGATAAGCTAACACTGGCCAAGGGCTGTAGAAATTAGTTTCCTTGATCAGGAAGGATCTGGCAATCCAGCTGGAGCAGTCCGGAAAAAGAAACCGCAACACCTGGCATGCTCCCTAGCCTGGGGGTTCTCAACCCAGGCCCTGGAGCAGAGCAGGGCATTCAGGTCACCTACTCTCCGCATGGAGTTCAAGAGCCTGGGCAATGCCTGCTTGTTCCTTGAAGCCCTGGTGTGGGTTCTGTCTTTTCACAGCTGTAGGGGGCAGGGATGCCCAGACTTGCCCTTTTAGCTCCCCTCCCCTTGAAGAAGTGACCCTGGAAGAAGCCTGTTTACCACATCCCTGCCTTGAGACAGGTAGACACCCATTGGGCTTGCCTGGCACACCTGTGAGCTACTGGATGGCTGGGAAGACCAATCCTAGTCCTGCATATGTTTCTGTCTTCCAAAGAACCATGTTGAGTTTTCATGGTTTTGATTTAGAAGCTGAAATGAGATTTCAGGGCTGGTTTGGCTTGGGTTCCCTTGGGAGCAGACACGGAGACAAAGAGTTTAGTGGGGCTTTTAGTTTGGGAGGCAACCCCAGGTGGAAACACTGGTGTGAAGTCAGGCAGGGAAGGAGTGTGTGCTTTTGAGGCAGCTGTGACAAAGCTGCCAGCTGGGTGGCTTCCAACAACAGAATGTTCTAGCCCATGGTCCTGGAGGCCAGGAGTCTGAAGGGGAGCTGTCGGGAGGGCCTCGTTCTCCGAAGGCTCTGGGGAAGGCTGCGTTCTGTCCCCTCTTCTAGCTTCTGGTGGCCTCAGGCATTCCCTGGCTTACGGAAGCCTCCCTCCCATCCACTGTGTCCACATGACATCTTCCTACACTGCCTTCCCTCTATGCGTGTGTCTCCAGGTTCAAATTTCCCTTTTAGAAGGACACCAGTCATATTGGACCAGGGCCCACCCAATGACCTGAACTTCACTTAGCGATATGGTTTAGTTGTGTCCCCACCCAAATCTCATCTTGAATTCCCACATGTTGTGGGAACGACCCGGTGGGAGGTCATTGAATTATTGGGGTAGGTCTTTCCCATGCTGTTCTTGTGATAGTGAATAAATCTCATGAGATCTGATGGTTTTATAAGAGGGAGTTTCCCTGCACAAGCTGTCTCTCTGCCTGCTGCCATCCATGTAAGATGTGACTTGCTCCTCCTTGCCTTCCATCATGATTGTAAGGCTTCCCCAGCCATGTGGAACTGTAAGTCCAAAAATCCTCTTTTATAAATTGTGCAGACTCAGGCATGTCTTTATTAGCCTTACCAGGTTTATCAGTCTGTTCTCATAAAGACTTTCTGTATGACTTTCCAGATCAGATCATCTTCTGGGGTACTGAGGGTTATGACTCCAATGTACTATTTTGGGGGGACAATTCACCCCATAATAGAAGGGAAGGAAGCTAATAAAGGGTGTGTTGTTTCAGCTAGTGTGGCTCAGTTTCATGTAGTCCTTTGGAAAACGATGTGGACCGCATCCCAGTTACCCAGCTGAGGGCGAGAAAGCCGAGGATTAGATGGACTCCAGTGCCTCATTTTCCCTCACCCAGCCAGGCACATGCCTCGCCATGGTGCCCTTGGTGCTCAGCCCTCAGCCCTCAGTGTGGGGGATGGGGAACCTCTACTCTAGACCCCATATGAGGCTCATGCTGGTGGTACTCAATGCTGGATAAGTGGAATTGACCTCACTGTGGCATGTTCAGTGTACTGAAAAGAAAATACTTTTAAAAGCACCTGAGCAGATTGACTGCTGCCCTGCAATATAATTCAATGTGTTGCCTTTCATGAATTCACACTATGTGTGAAATATAATGCACAATTAGCTTTATTATATATGGTATAATTCTTGGTTAATTTCCAGCCCTACAGCTTTCGTACCAGAGGGGCAGGGTTGAACTCAAATTAGTTAGTGTAGCTTGTGATTAGCAGTTCTCCTAAGTTCAGAGAGGGAGATGGAGACAACGGTCGTTGGGAGGAGTACTACGTGAGCCTTGATCTTGGGGGAAGCAGCCTCTGGCCAGACAGCAATGACCAAGAAGGTCTGGACACCACAGTCGGAGACCTAGTAGAGGCACTGGGCTTGAGAGACCTTGCAGGAATGGCTGCCTGCATCTCTCCATGCAGCATGAGGGCTTGTGTGTTGTGTGTTTTCTTGTAAAGTGAGGAAAATCACGTTTCCTTGTTAGGAGAAAACCCCAGCACAGAAAGCTCTCCACCAGGTCCATAAGGAGGCATAAGGTCCATAGGGAGAAGTAGCAGCTCTTGGAAGGGGAGAGCTGCTTGGGTGCTTCAGTGCAAGGGGGACTGTGGGCCATGGCCAGGGTGGGACTTTGGGGACCCTGAAGGTTCCAAGATGCACCCAGACACCTGGGACTTCCATCAGCCAAGGATCCTCTGGGCACCTGCTCCCTGATGCCCAGAGCTTTCCACATCAGTCCTGTGCATCTGGTGGTGGGGGTCGTGGTGTGGCATGGCAAGGAGTGGGCGCTTCCCTGTCTGGCCCAGCCTCTGGCATCTGGCCTCTGGCTTCTTTTTGGCTCATTTGATGTCTGCTGAAGGTCTGGCTGGCAGGAGGAGTGGACAAGCACCTAACATGCTTGGAGGCCGCCCCTGTTTTCCTGGGTGTGTGGAATGCAGCTTAGCTCCCACATTTGCAGGGACAGGGAGTGTGGGACCCAGAAGAGGGCCAGATGTGGGAGTTTGCCACATGGAATGCCAGCTGGGGCTGTGTGGTCTCAGACACATTATATTTAGTCAGTCTTGTGCCACTGTAAAGAAACACCCAAGGCTAGGTAAATTGGTAAGGAAAAGGAGTTTAATTGGTTCCCAGTTCTGCAGACTGTACAGGAAGTAGGGTGTTGGCATCCGCTCAGCTTCTGGGGAGGCTTCAGGAGCTTCCAATCATTGTGGAAAGCAAACGGGGAGCCGAGGTATCATATGGAGAGAGTGGGAGCAAGAGAGGCAGGGAGGTGCCATACTCTTTCAAACAGCCAGATCTCAGAGAACTCACTACCGTGAGAACAGGACCAAGCCTGGAGAGAACCACCCCGTGACCCAAACACCTCCTACCAGACCCACCTCCAATGCTAAGGTTTATATTTCAGCATGAGATTTGGGTGGGGACAAATACCCAAGCCATCTCACCTGTCATTTAACTCAAGAGAGTCTCCATTTTTTCTTCTCTCCAGTGGGGCTATCAAGCTGACCTCACGGAAGTGCAGGGAGGAAGGAACTGCATGAGATCGTCGAGATAGTTACGTGCCTGGGCCACAGAAGGTATTTAATAAACAGAAACTCTGATTACTAATAACATGCAGTGGTTTTGGGATAGCAGATTTGGCTTCCTTAAGAGAGCCGTCTTGGAGGCATTTTTACGTTCCACTATACAATGCTAAAGAGACAACTAAATTCCTGTTTACATGTAAACCTAAACACTCTCATTCGAACTGTGCCACCACCTTAAAAGACATATATTTATGCTTTCGGCTGCAGCTGTTCACATGTTTAAAAGCGGTGCGGCACTTGCGGAGTGATTATGCTAATGTACATTAGGGGTTGAACAGGCGCACGGACTGCAGTAACCCTCTATTTGAACTACACTGTGCAAATAAGATGTTATCTTCAATAAGCTCCTTATATAACTTAGTAATCACTGTAGTGCTTTTTGGTGAAATTGCGATGTTTTTACTGAATGTAGCCATTGAGTCTCAAACACCGAACCTTTGAGCAGACACCAGCAGTGCCCAAATGCTGAGTTCCTGGCCTAAAGGAGTTGAACATGGCTGTTCTTGCAGGCTGGGAGGGTGGGGGAGGGCTGGCATAGTGCGGGAGGTCCCAGTGAGCAAGGGGAATGGCGACGGCACCTGCCGGAGGTGGCCTCCACCCTATAAGAAGCCTCATCAACTGAGCAGAAGACCTCAAAGGTTGTGCAGTCTGTCCATTCCAGTGAGAGAAGAGAAACAGGTTTTGAGGGTAACTGAAGGACCAGTTATCCAACTAGTGTGAAGGCAAACAGCAAAGTTAATGTCTTGGCTCCAAAATGTTATTGCAGATCTCATGCAGGTCATGTCGTTGCACTTTACGTAGGGGGAGAAGAAAAGTATCTGTTTGCCCTGGAAAAAACTATGGATCTGGAGTTAGAAGACCTAGGTTAAGGGTAGCTGAGGCAGGTCCCTTTACCTCTCTGGGTCTGAGTATTAAGCAAGGCAGTGCATTACCCAGAGAATACTTATTGGTCACCTATTAAAGATTGAGCACCATAAAGCACTTTCTAAACTGCAAGGCGCTTTGCACATTTCAGGTAGTATTTGAATGTCTGCCGCAGCTGGGGTGGAGACGGTTCGCACAGGTGGTCTGCTTGTCAGGGGATGTGGAGGAAACTAACATGTATTTTAAATGCTCGCCGTGTGCCAGACCTGTTCCCAGAGTTTTGCATAAATATTTGGAGGAACTTGCAACCCTCCATGATGCTCATTTACATAAGGAGCTGAACAATTGCACTCTGATGAACAATCACAGCATGATCGTCATTTATCAGGTGAAGACACAATTGCTTGGAGCAGCTATGGCGCTTGTCCTGATCACCCAGTTAAGAAGCGGAGGGCCCCCAGACCTCAGATCTACCTGTCCATGAGGCTACCTCCTTTTTCCCTCACACCACTGCCTCAGACAATGGCAAACATTTGCCTTCTTTTCTGATTTTATAGGTGAGCAACGAGGAATCTCAAGAGGTGGTTTCCACACCATGAACTGACACGGCACCAGGATCTGGAAGCTCTGGGCTTCTCTGTCTTCTAGAATTCTGGGGGCCTCACATGGCCGCCTCCTCGGCGAGTGTGTTAGGCTGTTCTTGTATTGCTGAAATATAAATACATACCTGCGATTGGGTCATTTATAAAGAAAAGGTTCATTGGCTCACCGTTCTGCAGTCTGTACAGGAAGCATGATGCTGGCATCTGCTCAGCTTCTGGAGAGGTCTCAGGAAGCTTCCAATTGTGGAGGAAGATGAAGGGGAAGTGGGCATCTCACATGTCCGGAGCAGCAGCAAGAGAGTGAAGAGGGAGGGGCTACACGCTTTTAAATAACCAGATCTTGCAAGAACTCACTCGCTATGGCGAGGATCGTACTAAGGGGGATGCTGCTGAACTGTTCGTGAGAAATCTGCTGCCATGATCCAGTCCCCTCCCATCAGGCCCAACTCCAACACTGGGGATTCCATTTCAATGTGAGATTTGGGCAGGGACACACATCCAAACTATGTTACGGAGAGACCAACACAGAGAGGACAGGGAAAGCTGGCTGCTGGGCCTGTTCAGGAGTATGTCTGTCACATGCGGGTCTGCAGTCTGGACCCTCTAGAAGAATCACAGCATGTTCTCTCACAGACACACAGAAACCCAAAGAGGCCAACTGAGTCTGGTCTGGATTATCTATGATTTAATTTTGATTATTGTAAAATTAAACTTCCAGAGCTGTATAAGGTGTATTCTCAGTGAGTTTCCACACTGCCTGGGAGTGCTGGTGACACTTCTGTTTGCCTGGACGCACCCTCCCTCCCTGTCCTCACCCCGAGGTATAGTCTCATGCAGACTCTGTGCACACTACAAGTTTTATGACTGTAGGATTCACCTTCCCATTCTGTAGACAAGGACATTCGGGCTTCGGGAGCTTGAAGGGAGTTATCAAAGGCCACTCAGCTGGTAAGTGAACCTGATCCACAAGCTTTTCCTTTTTTAAATCCAGCACTCTTTTGCAACAGAGCAAATAGAAAGAAGCTTCATTCAGGATGGACTAGGGGATGGCCTAAGGCTGCAGGGCTGCTGGGAGTGACAGCATGATGGGGGGAGGGGGGAGGGAGAGGCAGAGGCATCGGGATCAGGGATGGGCCCTCCATTCTGGCCTCTGTTACCAATTTGCTCTGGAATCTGTAAAATGGCAGTTTGGATGTTACAGACTGAGCTGTGCCTTTCAAACCATATGAGAAGCCTTAACCTTCAGTGCCTCACAATGGGACTGTATTTGGAGACAGAGGGCCTAGGTCTCCAAATAGGTTAATTAAATTAAAATGAGGTCATTAGGATGGGCCCTAATCTGGTGTGACTGGTGTCCTTGTAAGAATAGAGATTAGGACACAGACACTCACAGAGGGATGACCATATGAGGACACAGGGAGGAGGTGGCATCTGCATTCCTAAGAGGGAGGCCTTAGAAGGAATCAGTGCTGCGGACACCTCGATCTCGGACTTCCCGCCTCCGAGAAACTGCGAGAAAGGCATCTCTGTTGTTTAAGGCTCCAGTGTGGTGCTTGTTATGGCAGCTGGAGCAGATGAACACAGACGCGATCATTCCATAGTATGAATTTCCAGCGATGGCAAACGCCAGTGTACAGCAACGGCATTTCTTGCCTGCTGGCCACCATGGATTCGTGAGCTGTCCATGGCCATGCTTGACTTGGAGTTGAACAAATGAGATTGGGTCCGGGGAGATTTCTGGGGCCTGAGGATTTGGAACTGGTGTTTTTCTATCCAGGAGGCTCTTCCGTGAGCCCCCTTCCTTACTACCACTAACCCCTCTCAGATGCCTTGCATGGCAGGCTGATGGGTTCATCTGCCCCCCAGAGTTCCACATCCCTGGCAGGTTTTGCCCAATGAGCAGGTAAGTGTGGCAGAAGGAAAGAAGAGTGGCTTATTAAGTATTTGTATTATTCGGGGTTCTCTAGAGAGACAGGACTAATAGGACAGATGTATATCTAAAAGGGAGTTTATTAAGGATATTCACCCATGAGCACAAGGTGAAGTCCTACAATAGGCTGTCTGCAAGCTGAGGAGCAAGGAAGCCAGTCCGAGTCCCCAAACCCCAAAAGTCAAGAAGCTGACAGTGCAGCCTTTAGTCTGTGGCCGAAGACCTGAGAGTCCCCGGCAAACCACTGCTGTGAGTCTGAGAGTCCAAGAGGCAGGAGGCATCCAGCACAGGAGACAGGTGAGGCCGGAGGACTCAGCCAGTCTCGTCCTTCCACATTCCTCTGCCTGCTTTACTCTAGCCACGCTGGCAGCTGATTACCTGCTGCCCACCCAGATTGCGGGTGGGTCTGCCTTTCCCAGTCCACGGACTCAAACGTGAGTGTCCTTTGGCAGCACCCTCACAGACGCACCCGGGAACAATACTCCGCATCCTTCAGGCCCATCAAGTGGACACTATTAACCATCACAGTAGTGTTGAAAGAGCAAAGAGAAAAATTGGCAATGATCTTCTCATGGTCAGAAGCCAGCAAAATGGGAATGGGAAAGGGTGTTATTTACGGTCCTTATTGGTGGAGCTAGCGGGCACGGGAGGCATGTCTTGTCCAGCCTGTGCCTTATTACAGATGGAAACGGAGGCATGGGAGGGCAGAGAGAAACAGTGCCTTGCCCCAGGCAGAGCTGAAGCCACACACTCCTGACCGCCACTCCCCCTAGATCATCCTCATTTGGGAATAGGAAAGGGAGAGAATGAGTTCGTGTCGTTTGTAGGGACAAGGATGAATCTGGAGAACGTCATCCTCAGCACAAGAACAGAAAATGAAACACCGCATATTCTCACTCATAGGCGGGTGATGAAAAATGAGAACACATGGACACAGGGAGGGGAGTACTAAACACAGGGGTCTAAAGGGGGGAAAAGGGGAGGGCCAGTGGGAGGGGGAGGTGGGGAGGGATAGCCTGGGGAGAAACGCCAAATGTGGGTGAAGGGGTGAAAGCAAACAGAACACACTGCCATGTGTGTACCTATGCAACTGTATTGCATCCTCTGCACATGTACCCCCAAACCTAAAATGCAATAAAAAAAATAAGAAAAAAAAAAAAATATTCTCCTCAGATTCAGAAAAGCCGAATGCGGAGCAAACACTGTGCTTGAGCCCTGAAAGGCTTCTGCAGCCGAAATCGCTTCTGCTGGGTTCGCGCTGCCTCTGTTCGTCCCTCTCTGTCTGGAGGAGCTCTTAAACGCAGCTCAATGTTATCATCCCCCATTGTGTGAAAATGACAGCGAAGGTCAGAGAGCAGCGCAGCAGGCTCATCTCGACTTATCTGAAAATTACTCTCATCACCGGCATTGTGGAGGCTCCGTCGTGTGGATGCGGTGCCAACTCCACACACTTTCTTTAGGTTGCCCAGGTGAGGAGTGCAGAGGAGGGGAAGCAGGCTGGCAGCACATCACACCTTCCACAGACAGTGCTGGGCGTGGAAGGTCAAGTGCCTCCCCGGCCTGTGTGTGCTGAGAACTTCTAGCTCTGGTGGCCCCTGCCTGGGTCTTTCCATGGCGGTGCTTTCCTTGGAAGGGCGTGTTCCTAAGGGACTTGCTCTGGGGTCTTTCTCTAGCGGGAGATGCAGCCATTCCCAGGCCATGTGGATGCCCCGTAACAGATCCCTGGACATCATTGTCGCCACCATCGAACAGCCCAACATTTCTCTTCAGAGACGGTCTGACACATGAGCTTAGCAGCACTTGTCAAATGGAAGCAAGAACAGGAGGATTGGACGAGGGCAGTGCTGAAGGTAGCCTGTGTTCAATCAAGCTAAACAGATAATAACCATCACTGATAGGGCAGGCCCTGTGCACACCACGTCTGTGGTGTCCATACCCTCTCTGGGGTGTCACACAGGGACTTGGGGCCTGGCACAGCCAGGAAGGGGCCGAGCTGGGATCATTCACTCTGTCCCGTGCAAAGCTGAGGCCTCTTCAGATGGCCACACTGCCCCCACCGGGGTGGTTTGCTGAATTCCCATGACCTGGCAGGCACTGGGACGACCAGCAGGGCCTTGCAGAGACATGCACAGCCTGGGAGTCTGTCCAAGAGCCTGGGTGTGGACCAGGCGGGAGATACAGGAGGAAAGATGTCTTTAGGAAAATAAAGTCTGTCTCATTTTTTAAAAAGTAACACTTGTTCATTGCTGAAATTTCAAAAATGTAAAAGAATGAAAAGAAAAGAAAAAGCAACTACCTGTGTTTTCACAACCAGAAATTAACCACCGTTACTTTTTGGTATATTTTGTTTTGGTCTGTTTTTACCACCAGTTAGTTTTCTCACGTAGCTGTGATTACCCATTGATGGTAGGCTTCAGCAGATAAAATCTAAATTTATTTTTCATTTTCCATTTTATCATTGATACCTATAGAGTATGTTTGGCATGCAGATGGTGCTCAATAAATGGTTTTAAACAAATTTATAGAATAAAATATACATCTGAATGACAGTATATATCCAGGTTCACAGCCTTCTGCCCTCATTTAAAGTTTAAATGTATTTCCCCACATTTTTACTGTATTTTTCTAAATAGAGTCTTTTAAATAACTGCATAGTTTAATGTACATATTTTAATGCACTTGCCACTTTCCTACTGTTGAATATTTTAGACAATTTGCAAGTTTTTAGAATATAGTATATTCTCAATAAGCAATAATGACCATCTTTGTGTAGAAGGCTTTTTCCCCATATTCTGGGGTGTTTCATTTGGATGGCTTCCCAGAAGGGAATTAACAGGTCAAAGTACTGAACATATTTGTTTCAAGTCCTTTGGCTACACATGGCTATACGCACCTTTTCAGAGTCTCTGCTAACTTGTATTCTCATTAGTAGGATGTGTGGCTCAGGCAGGCAGAATGTGAGGTCTGGAATCCAAAGGCCTGGGCTGACATCCTGGTGCTGTCACCCCCTTACAGGTTATCTTGGGTAAGGCGCTTAAGTTTCCTGGGCCTCCATTTCCCTTTATGTAAAATGGAAGTGGTGGCAATAACTCACAGGACTGTGGTGAGAATCACATGAGCAAGGGCTGTGGCTGTGCATCTCAGACCGTCAGCTTCTGAAGTGTGAATTCTCTGGTGAAGGCACTTACTCTCCGATACACGTCAGGCCTGCAGCTCCCCAAGACTCAAGAGGAACAGACCCCTGGCAGTCAGGGTCACAGCACCCAGAGACGCCTTGGGACTTAGGAGTGCAGTACCCTGGGGTTCAGTTGTGCACTGCCTTTGCTACCTGTGGCTGAGGTGTGCACACTCTATCTGCACCAGCTGGGGATCAGGTCTGCATCATCTGCATTACCTGGCACTCAGGTGTGTACTACCTGTGGCTGAGGTGTGCACACTCTATCTGCACCAGCTGGGGATCAGGTCTGCATCATCTGCATTACCTGGCACTCAGGTGTGTTCTACCTGTGGCTGAGGTGTGCACACTCTATCTGCACCAGCTGGGGATCAGGTCTGCATCATCTGCATTACCTGGCACTCAGGTGTGTTCTACCTGTGGCTGAGGTGTGCACACTCTATCTGCACCAGCTGGGGATCAGGTCTGCATCATCTGCATTACCTGGCACTCAGGTGTGTACTACCTGTGGCTCAGGTGCACAGAACCTGGAACTTAGGAGTTTAGTCCTACGAATCCCATGTTTTGATGTTCCTGTCCACCTCCTCTGCCGCTCAATTCAAACAGCTGGGACTGTGTTCCAGTTCTAGTGACTCAGGTCAAGGTTTGCTCAGTAGTCTGAGTACTCAGGCTCGCTGTTCCATTACTTGTGGCTTCTACCGCACTGTTTGCCAAAGGATGATGTCAAGAAACACTTAGAAGTGAGCAGTAATTCCTTTCTCTGGTTAGATATATTAGGGTCCAAACTATCCTAATAAGTGTCTTCCTTCAGTTGTAGAGGAAAAGAAGGGAACACAGGTGGTGAATTGCAGTGCATGGTTGGCGAGGACTCAACAACAGAGAGGAACGAGACCAGCAGAAGTCACAGGCAGAAAGGTGATTCACCTTCTAAGAAACTCTATTTCATTTCACCCTTCCTCCTTCCCTCCCTTTGTTCTTTCACTCATTTATCCAGCATCAACACTGGATAGAATATGTGTGTTAGAAAATGCAGCCCCGGCTCTTAGGGCCTTCTGGGTCTAGGAGGAGACATCAGGGTGAGAGAGTGGTGATGATGTGGTTGTGTGAGGGCTGGGATGGTGGGTGCTGGGTGCTAGGGAGCACAGAGACAGCCCTAGCTTCCCTCAAAGGCTCGGGGCACGTGGGGGTCATGTTTTAGGGATGTGCTGTGCAAAGGACAGTAGCATGGATTCCTGTTTGTGGCAGGGGCCTTCCCACAATGAACAAATTGGGCGGGAGGCAAAGCCTGGCTCTTGAAGCTGTCACATGGCAGCAGTGGGTTCTGGGGAGCACAGAGGGGCAGGTGCCATGGGGAAACCAGATGCCAGCTGGCTCAAGGGCAGTGCCTAGGCACCAAGTTCTACTCCTGGGGGCAGAGGTCAACCATGAGCCCTGAGGCTCAAGAAAACCTCTCGGGCATCTCACATGTCCGAAGGGGATTGCGGAGGTTCTTTTATGGCTGTGCAAAGACTGTGTAGCACTTGTTAATTTCCTGAGGGAAGCTATGCGGCTGCTCCTAGGTCCTCTTTTCCTCTCACCTGGCTCACGTGATAGGAATAATGCTTTCCCACAGCAGCGCATCATCTGACCCGGGCCTCTTCCAGCAGGCGTAAGAAGGGCTGCCTCGTGGGGTCCGTGCTGTCAAGTGTGGCCAGTTGGCTTTGGCTTCCACTTGACACTCCACACAGATGTGTAGGCGGTAGAGATCCCATATCAAAGGAAAGGAGCATCACTAGCTACAGTGTCTCCATCACCTACTATGTGCCGTGCATTGGGCTTGCAGGATGACACTTAGTTCCTGGGAAAAACCCACAAAGTAGCGATCATTATTTGCCGTTTTACAGATAAGGACCCCAAACTTAAAGATGTTAGGTGACTTACGCACAGCTGGCAAAAAGCAGAGCTGGAATCTGCTTCAGGTTGATTCAGTTCGAGGACACACACTAACAACCACTTTTCTGTGTTCCTCTCACGGTAACATGTAATTTGTCAAATGGGCCGTGCAACCTTGTTGAAAAAATGGACATCCTGTGTTGAGGTGAATGGGTCCCCAGTGTGTCTCTAGGTGGGGCTGACATTCTATATATCAGCAGATAAAAGCATAATAAATATTGTGGAATTTAAGAAAACCAGGAAGTTAAAAGTGGAAGTAAACTGAATAGAAGTGGGATGACAGTCATACAGAAGAAAGGCAGTGTTTTAAGAAGATGACCTGCTCTCTCACAAGGACACCAAACATGTGCGTCAGATTCCTAATACCTGTTGAATGATATATCAGGACTATTAACTGAGAATGAAAGATTGTCATGAACAGCCAATAACTGGCCAGGCTTAGAAGGGTCCCTGCGATTCACGCCCTGTTCCTGCAAGTGACTGCTTGCTTCTGCTCTGGAAACACACAGATGGGTCACAGGGACAGGCTGATGACTTCTCAATGTCTGAAGGATAATCAGGAGAAAGGGATTAAATAGTCATTCGTGGGCCAAGTTGTAGAACACGAGTCAGAGGGTGGAAAACATACCATGGTGAAAACATACCTCAGTGAAAATGAGGCAGTTCATGATTAATAAGAAGATCAGTAATAATCTCAAAGTTAAGAAAAGCTTGATGGCCTTGAGATCGGCTTTACTTCAGACTGTGGTGCGTACGCATGTGAGATGCGGGTTGCCTGAATTTTTCTGAGCCCTGGCTTCCTCTTCTATAATGAAGATGGTGACATAATGTGTAATTCACAAGGTAG